CGTTACCATCATCACTCGTTGCCATCATCAATCGTTACCATCATCACTCGTTGCCATCATCAATCGTTACCATCATCACTCGTTGCCATCATCAATCGTTACCATCATCACTCGTTGCCATCATCAATCGTTACCATCATCACTCGTTACCATCATCACTCGTTGCCATCATCAATCGTTACCATCATCACTCGTTGCCATCATCAATCGTTACCATCATCACTCGTTACCATCATCACTCGTTGCCATCATCAATCGTTACCATCATCACTCGTTGCCATCATCAATCGTTACCATCATCACTCGTTGCCATCATCAATCCTTACCATCATCACTCGTTACCATCATCACTCGTTACCATCATCACTCGTTGCCATCATCAATCGTTACCATCATCACTCGTTGCCATCATCAATCGTTACCATCATCACTCGTTACCATCATCACTCGTTACCATCATCACTCGTTGCCATCATCAATCGTTACCATCATCAATCGTTACCATCATCAATCCTTACCATCATCACTTGTTACCATCATCAATCGTTACCATCATCAATCGTTACCATCATCACTCGTTACCATCATCACTCGTTACCATCATCAATCGTTACCATCATCACTCGTTACCATCATCACTCGTTACCATCATCAATCGTTACCATCATCAATCGTTACCATCATCACTTGTTACCATCATCACTCGTTACCATCATCAATCGTTACCATCATCACTCGTTACCATCATCACTCGTTACCATCATCAATCGTTACCATCATCACTCGTTACCATCATCACTCGTTACCATCATCAATCGTTACCATCATCACTTGTTACCATCATCACTCGTTACCATCATCAATCGTTACCATCATCACTCGTTACCATCATCACTCGTTACCATCATCAATCGTTACCATCATCACTCGTTACCATCATCACTCGTTACCATCATCAATCGTTACCATCTTCACTCGTTACCATCATCAATCATTACCATCATCACTCGTTACCATCATCAATCGTTACCATCATCAATCGTTACCATCATCACTCGTTACCATCATCAATCGTTACCATCATCACTCGTTACCATCATCACTCGTTACCATCATCAATCGTTACCATCATCACCTCTGGCTAAACTGTCTCTTTGAGTTGTCACTGCCTTCACGGTTGACACCTTCCCTGACTCACTGTATGATTGACTCAATCACTGACTCACTGTATGGTTGACTCAGTCACTGATTCACCGTATGGTCGATTCAGTCACTGACTCACTGTATGATTGACTCAATCACTGACTCACTGTATGGTTGACTCAGTCACTGATTCACCGTATGGTCGATTCAGTCACTGACTCACTGTATGATTGACTCAATCACTGACTCACTGTATGGTTGACTCAGTCACTGACTCACTGTATGATTGACTCAATCACTGACTCACTGTATGGTTGACTCAGTCACTGACTCACTGTATGATTGACTCAATCACTGACTCACTGTATGGTTGACTCAGTCACTGACTCACTGTATGATTGACTCAATCACTGACTCACTGTATGGTCGATTCAGTCACTGACTCTCTGTATGATTGACTCAATCACTGACTCACTGTATGGTTGACTCAGTCACTGACTCACTGTATGGTTGATTCAATCACTGACTCACTGTATGGTTGTTGCAACCCCTGAATGGGTTGCAATATATATAATGTATATTATGATTATGAATATAATGTATATATATATAATTATTACCTTTTCATATAATTTTATACTGCTTATATTTGCGATAATAGCTAAATCGTAAATGTATTGCTTTATATTATTATTTGACTGTTATGTTGTTAGGTAGGATGTAACATATTATGTGCTCAGTTCAAGTCTTGACTGTCTAACTACTGCAATTATCGCTTGTGGCTCGTTAGACTGCCGGCTTCTGAGCTGCAGTTGTCCACGGAGCTATCACGTGATCGAGGGGGGTGTCCTCACCTCGCCTGAAGTATTCAGTCTGGTCTAGACTCTCTTGGTGGTTGGACAGATTGTCTGTCTCATTATTCTTGTTAGTTCTGTAGAACTCTGTTCACAGAACATTGTATAGACTTAGTGATTTTCGACGTTGTACTGAGGTTGTGTCTCTCATAGACACTCTGAGTAACTCAGGTCCTGAGCTGTAGCTTTTCACCTAACTTGTACTGATTTCTGTGTATTATCACAGTCGGGGATTTTCTTATGCTGAACTTAGATTCAGTAGTATGGGAGTTTTGTGACTTGTGGAGGATCTGCTGATGGTCCCTACTTAGTGTCGTTATATTATCTCCTTGTTCCTGATTGTGTCGCAGTTGCTTGTTATATTGTTCGGCTTATCAGTCGTTTTATTGTTCAAGCAGACTGTTCTGATTGCCAGTTGGTTAAGAACTTAGTTTATTTGAGGACTTTGTCAGTCACTTGTTTAAGTCTAGTCGAGTCGTGAGACAACGAACTACTTAGAGCACTTACACTCATACACAAACTTACTTGTACATATTTGTAATATCTTATTAAATGTTAATGTACCAGACGGTACTTAAGAATTATAAATGTGATATGTGCTTTCAGCACAATAATATTGTACTCGAGAGATGTGATATTATTTGGATTACTGTGATTAATTTAATTTAATTTAATTTGATAATATACCTCTAGACTTAATAAATTTATTAAATTTTAATTTCTCTAGTTAGTAGCCTACCAGTTGTAATCCTGAAGCACTATTGAATCATACTGAATTCTAATGGATAATTGGACCAGGATACTGACTATTTGTTACGAAAACCCAGTAACAGGCTGGATGCTAGAAGGGCAGTCCTTTCTAGTATTACCTGGAGATCTCGAAGCTTTTAGAATCGCGTTTTCTGTAACAATGGTTGATTCAGTCACTGACTCACTGTATGGTTGATTCAATCACTGACTCACTGTATGGTTGATTCAATCACTGACTCACTGTATGGTTGATTCAATCACTGACTCACTGTATGGTTGATTCAATCACTGACTCACTGTATGGTTGATTCAATCATTGACTCACTGTATGGTTGATTCAATCACTGACTCACTGTATGGTTGATTCAATCACTGACTCACTGTATGGTTGATTCAATCATTGACTCACTGTATGGTTGATTCAATCACTGACTCACTGTATGGTTGATTCAGTCACTGACTCACTATATGGTTGATTCAGTCACTGACTCACTGTATGGTTGATTCAGTCACTGACTCACTGCATGGTTGATTCAGTCACGGACTCACCGTATGGTTGACTCAGTCACTGACTCACTGTATGGTTGATTCAGTCACTGACTCACTGTATGGTTGATTCAGTCACTGACTCACTGCATGGTTGACTCAGTCACTGACTCACTGTATGGTTGACTCAGTCACTGACCGTATGGTTGACTCAGTCTCTGACTCACCGTATGGTTGATTCAGTCACTGACTCACCGTATGGTTGACTCAGCCACTGACTCACCGTATGGTTGACTCAGCCACTGACTCACCGTATGGGTTGACTCGTCACTGACTCAACGTATGGTTGATTCAGTCACTGACTCACCCTATGGTTGACCAGTCACTGACTCACCGTATGGTTGACTCATCACTGACTCACTGTTGGTTGACTCAGTCCCCTGACTCACCGTATGGTTGATTCAGTCACTGACTCACCGTATGGTTGACTCAGCCACTGACTCACCGTATGGTTGACTCAGCCACTGACTCACCGTATGGTTGACTCAGTCACTGACTCACTGTATGGTTGATTCAGTCATTGACTCACCGTATGGATGACTCAGTTACTGACTCACTGTATGGTTGACACAGTCACTGACTCACTGTATGGTTGACACAGTCACTGACTCACTGTATGGTTGATTCAGTCACTGACTCACTGTATGGTTGACTCACTGACTCACTGTATGGTTGATTCAGTTACTGACTCACTGTATGGTTGACTCAGCCACTGCCTCACTTTATGGTTGACTCAGTCACTGACTGCATGGTTCAGTCACTGACTCACTGTATGGTTGACTCAATCACTGACTGCATGGTTCAGTCACTGGCTCACTGTATGGTTGACTCAATCACTGACTGCATGGTTCAGTCACTGACTCACTGTATGGTTGACTCAATCACTGACTGCATGGTTCAGTCACTGACTCACTGTATGGTTGACTCAATCACTGACTGCATGGTTCAGTCACTGACTCCCTATATTGTTGACTCAGTCACTGACTCACCGTATGGTTGATTCAGTCATTGACTCTTTGTATGGTTGACTCAGTCGCTGACTCACTGTATGGTTGACTCAGTCACTGACTCACTGTATGGTTGACTCACTGTATTGACTCAATGTATGGTTGACTTACTGAATCGTTGACTCACTGACTTACTGTATGGTTGACTCATTTACTCACTGTCTGGTTGACTCACTGTATGGTTGAGTCACTGACTCACTGTATGGTTGACTCACTGACTTTATGGTTAACTCACTGACTTACTCTATGGCTGACCCACTGTCCTTACTCTATGGTTGACTCACTAACTTACTCTATGGTTGACTCACTAATTTACGCTGTGCTTGACTCACTGCTTGGCTGACTCACTGATTTACTCTATGGTTGACTCACTGAATCACTGTATGTTTGACTCACTATATAGTTGACTCACTGTATGGTTGACTCATTATATGGTTGACTCACTATATGGTTGACTCACCATATAGTTGACCCACTATATGGTTGACTCACTATATGGTTGACTCACTATATAGTTGACTCACTATATAGTTGACTCACTATATAGTTGACTCATTATATGGTTGACTCACTATATAGTTGACTCACTATATAGTTGACTCATTATATGGTTGACTCACTCTATGGTTAGCTCACTATATGGTTGACTCACTATATAGTTGACTCACTATATGGTTGACTCACTATATGGTTGACTCACCTATTGTCACCTGAGAAGTGAACACTATTCACTTTATTCAAGTGTCCTTTGCACATTCTCTTGCAAGTTGCTCTGATCTTAGGCACCTCAGCTACGCCCGAGCATCCGTCAGCCAGCGTCTTGTCTGCTTTGCTCTTTTGGTCCTCCTGTTGGGCGAAACGTGGGTTTTAGGGCGAGATGTGGGGTGTCAGGGCGAGACGTGTATTTCTAAACACTACAGATACTACTAACAGATGATGTCGATTTCTAGATAACTTAGCGCCACTTCTAGTACACTAAATCAACGTCGTCACCTCTAGAGCACCAAGGTGCTGTGTGATCCTTACAGGTTTAGCGCTTCCAGAGCGCTAAACTTGTAAACAGAAAACTTTGGGAGGCCCAGTAGCTGTGACTCAACACTGCCAAGAGGCCCAGCAGCTGTAGGTCAACACCGTTTATATATATATATATATATTATAAAATATATAATATATATATATATATATATAATTATATATAATATATAATATATATATATATATGTCGTGCCAAATATGTAAAACTGGTCAATTAGCAAGAACTCATTTAAAATTAAGTCCTTTCTAAATTTTCTCTTATACGTTTAAATATATTTTTTCTTTAATGTTGATGTAAAAATTTTAATTTTGCACCAAAAGGAGCTTAGAAAACTTACCTAACCTTATTATAACAAGCGCAATTTATTTTAGCCAACCCAACTAAATATATTTTAGATTTGTTTACAATAATTTAATACTAAACAAACACAGTGAAATATTTTTATATATATATATATATATATAATATATATATATAATATATATTATATATATATATAATATATATATAATATATATATATATATAGAATTCCAAGCGCTTTCGTTACTTCTCACATTATCAAGGAACTATAAAAATAAAGAGTTAACAGGGAAGCCTATGAGAACAAGACTACACCTCACTGCCACCCAACAACACCTGACTTTTTATGATTATAAATAAAATAACTAATGATCTAAAATACCCAAGAAACTTAACTGATTAATCGTTTAAAATTGCTAAAAATACTTTTTTGCTTTTGCAGTTCAAAAAGGGACAACCAACCTTACTCAACTAAAAATATATTGGTTCTCCCTCACCATAAAAAAAAATAATTTATATGTCTTCTCTACTTAAGAATTTTAATAAATTTGGTGGTTAACGCTCTGGCTTCACACGGTGAGGGTCCGGGTTCGATTCCCAGCCAGAGTAGAAACATTGGACGTGTTTCTTTCCACCTGTTGTCTATGTTCCCCATCAGTAAACTGGGTACCTGGGTGTTAGTCGACTGGTGTGGGTCGCATCCTGGGACACTGACCTAAGGAGGCCTGGTCACAGACCGGGCCGCGGGGGCGTTGACCCCCGGAACTCTCTCCAGATAAACTCCAGATAAAAAATTAACCCAGAAATACTGACGGTTGTGAGGCGAGACACATATGTGACAGGTTACATATGTGTCTAGCTGGTATCCAAGGTAATGATTTACACATACGTTAAACCACATACCTACTAGGGTAGGGTAGGTGCCTGAGTCCGAGCCTTTAGCTCATAAGACTGTCATTCCCATTTGCTCCCTTGGGGCGGGGATGGCGGACCAGAGAGGCCTAGCTTGTGGCTAGGCCTGGGGACAGTTGGTCCCAAAGATGAGGAGGTAAATTGTGCCTCCTCCCATGGGAGACTTAGGTCTCAGACACTCCCTAAAGAGGGAGCCAAGGCCGGGCCACCAATGGAAAAGGCCCGGGCCGGGAGAATACCGGGTAATCTTTAATAATAATAATAATAATAATAATAATAATGTACTTAAGTGTACCTAACTGAATAAACCGCAATACTCTTTTTTGTCCGTGCTCTGTGTTTCGAAAGTTGAGCGGGTTTATTCGCGCGAAAAGGCGGAATAAATCTCCGCGCTCGTTTAATCTTTCCGCGGATTTTTTTTTTTTTTTTTGGGGGGGGGAGGTTTTTATTGGGGGGGGGTGGTTTTTTTAAAATTTTTTCGCTATATGTTACCACATGGTTGACTCCGATATGTTCCACTATATGTAAATCTGACTGTATGTTGCTCACTATTAGTTGTCTCCCTATAGGTTAAACTGGTAGGGGTTTTATCACTGGTGATGGTCGACTCCTACATGGTAGCTCAGGCTAGGGTTGACAACTATCGGGTGCTTGACCCCCGTAACTGATACGTGAACACATTCACTTTAAATTCAAGTCCTTTGCACATCTCTTGAAGTTGCTCTGATCTTAGGCACCTCAGTACGCCCGAGCATCCGTCAGCCACGTTTAAATCGCTTTGCTCTTTGGCCTCCTGTTGGGCGAAACGTGGTTTTAGGGCGAGATGTGGGTGTCAGGGCGAGACTTGTATTTCTAACACTACAGATACTACATAACAGATGATGTCGATTTCTAGAACTTAGCGCCACTTCTAGTACACTAAATCAACGTCGTCACCTCTAAGTACCAAGGTGCTGTGTGATCCTTACAGGTTTAGCGCTTCCAGAGCGCTAAACTTGTAAACAGAAAACTTCGGGAGGCCGTAGCTGTAGGTCAACACCGTTTATATATATATATATATATATTATATATATATATATATAATATATATATATTTGATGTCTGCGCGATAATGGCGGAATAAATCTCCGCGCTCGTTTAATCTTTCTCGACGGATTTTTTTTTTTGGGGGGGGGGAGGTTGTTATTTGGGGGGGGGGGGATGTGGTTAAATTTGTTAATTTTATTAAATTGTGCTATATTTTTTTCTGTTTCCGCGGAATAGCATGGGAATGCCTCTTCTGATCGGCTTCAAATTCACAGAACTAGTGACGTCTACAGCTACACTCATCTGCATTACCCTGGTCTCTGGAGGATGTTGATCTCTAGCTCCTGTGTGATACGAAGGATACCTCTGTGAGGTTATGTATTACAACGGATACCTCCCTGAGGTCATGTAACGCGAGGGATACCTCTCTGAGGTTATGTAACATGAAGGATACGTCTCTGAGGTTATGTAACACGAGGGATACCTCCCTGTGGTTATGTAACGCGAGGGATACCTGTCTGAGGTTAACATGAAGGATACGTCTCTAAGGTTATGTAGCACGAAGGATGCTTCGCTGAGGTTATTTAACACGAGGGATACCTATCTGAAGTTATGTAACACGAGGGATACCTATCTTAAGTTATGTAACACGAGGGATACCTATCTGAAGTTATGTAACACGAGGGATACCTATCTGAAGTTATGTAACACGAGGGATACCTATCTGAAGTTATGTAACACGAGGATACCTATCTGAAGTTATGTAACACGAGGGATACCTATCTGAAGTTATGTAACACGAGGGATACCTATCTGAAGTTATGTAACACGAGGGATACCTGTCTGGTAACACACAGTCATGAAGCACGTCTAGTTAGTGTTGATGTTCGCGCCGTCATGGGAAGGTGTGCGAGGTTCTTGTCAACACTGTGATAGTATCCAGAAATACTGACTACAAGTGTATTTTGGAGTACTCACCTATTTGTGGTTGCAGGGGTCGAGTCTTAGCTCCTGGCCCCGCCTCTTCACCGGTTGCTACTGGGCCCTCTCTCCCCCCGCTCCATGAGCTTTATCAAACCTCGTCTTAAAACTGTATATGGTTCCTGCCTCCACTACGTCATTTTCTAAGCTATTCCACTGCCTTACAACTCTATGACTGAAGAAATACTTCCTAATATCTCTCTGACTCATTTGTGTCTTCAACTTCCAATTGTGGCCTCTTGTTTCTGTGTCCCCTCCCTGGAACATCCTGTCTTTGTCCACCTTGTCTATTCCACGCAGTATTTTATATGTCGTTATCATGTCTCCCCTGACCCTCCTGTCCTCCAGTGTCGTCAGGCCGATTTCCCTTAATCTTTCTTCATAGGACATTCCTCTTAGCTCTGGAACTAACCTTGTGGCAAACCTTTGTACTTTCTCTAGTTTCTTGACGTGCTTTATCAAGTGCGGGTTCCAAACAGGTGCTGCATACTCCAGTATGGGCCTGACATACACGGTGTACAGTGTCTTGAACGATTCCTTACTAAGGTGTCGGAATGCTGTTCTCAGGTTTGCCAGGCGCCCATATGCTGCAGCAGTTATCTGATTGATGTGTGCTTCCGGAGACATGCTCGGTGTTATACTCACCCCAAGATCTTTCTCCTTGAGTGAGGTTTGCAGTCTTTGGCCACCTAGCCTATACTCTGTCTGTGGTCTTCTGTGCCCTTCCCCTATCTTCATGACTTTGCATTTGGCAGGATTAAATTCGAGAAGCCATTTGCTGGACCAGGTGTCCAGTCTGTCCAGGTCTCTTTGAAGTCCTGCCTGGTCCTCATCAGATTTAATTCTCCTCATTAACTTCACATCATCTGCAAACAGGGACACTTCTGAGTCTAACCCTTCCATCATGTCGTTCACATATACCAAAAATAGCACTGGTCCTAGGACCGACCCCTGTGGGACCCCGCTCGTCACAGGTGCCCACTGTGATACATCATTACGTACCATGACTCGTTGTTGCCTCCCTGTCAGGTATTCTCTGATCCATTGCAGTGCCCTTCCTGTTATATGCGCCTGATGCTCTAGCTTCTGCACTAATCTCTTGTGAGGAACTGTGTCAAAGGCCTTCTTGCAGTCCAAGAAGATGCAATCAACCCACCCCTCTCTCTCGTGTCTTACTTCTGTTATTTTATCATAAAACTCCAGAAGGTTTGTGACACAGGATTTGCCTTCCGTGAATCCGTGCTGGTTGGCATTTATACTCTTGTTCAGTTCCAGGTGCTCCACCACTCTCCTCCTGATAATCTTCTCCATAATTTTGCATACTATACACGTCAATGACACCGGTCTATAGTTTAGTGCCTCTTTTCTGTCTCCTTTTTTAAAAATGGGAACTACATTTGCCGTCTTCCATACCTCAGGTAGTTGCCCAGTTTCCAGGGACGTGTTGAAGATTGTGGTAAGTGGCACCCACAACATATCTGCTCCCTCTCTAAGGACCCACGGGGAGATGTTGTCCGGTCCCATTGCCTTTGAGGTATCGATGTCCCTTAGCAGTTTCTTCACCTCCTCCTCATCTGTATGTATGTCGT